AGAGATTGGGTTGGAGGGAATGGGAGCATCAGTGCTTGCTGGTGCAGGAACCCTCGCAGCCCTCCAGCACAACATGGTTGCCACATCCTGATTAGCTATCACTTCATGCTACAGCGTTACTGCCCAATGAAGTGCTGGCACCGCAGGAATATGAGATTCCCTGTTTTGCGGGCAAATGCACACGGAACAAGTAAGAATTGCTTTCAGTGTTAGTTTCGTTACAACGCCGTAGAATCAGTGTACTTGGGAAACGAAAGTCTGAAATTTCAGTGTGGCCTAACAAAAAAGGCTGAAAGATCAGTCCCACAAAAATCTCAACGCTGATTTTTCAGTGTAGGTAAAAAAAGGGCTGCCAAAATCAGGAATTTCAGGGTTTTTTTCCTGATATCTGAGGCCCTGGTAAGGAAATTCCCTTTTCCTTACTTCGCGTCCCTGCTCAACGCGTATATCACTGTAGCACCTCAGTCAGCACCGTTACCACTCGCGACCATCGCATCATTCATCATCCCGCCCTTTTCGCACATCGCATCCCGACCTCACGGCTCGGCTGGTAACCCGCGCTCCGGACCTACGTTTCGACACTTTCCCAACCTCAGTCCCAGGCTCGTCGCGCGACCATTACCGTTACCACGGTAGTTTCGCTATATAATGTTCGCTCATGCCTTCGCTCATTTGTATTCTTGCTTCGATAGTGCAATTCTCGTTCGTTCACTCAATTGCACTCGTAACACCTGCGGGTTTTAACTGTCAAATCCTGTGATAGGTTTTGTTGTGCTTTGACGCATTGCTACTTGATTCTGTACAATCTTTGGGTTCAGCTCAGTGTTCAATGTTCATCTTTCGGCGTGTGTCACTAACGGCAGTAGCGAGGAATTTTGCACGCAAGTGATCAACCGCGGCGCCGTCTTTGTCAGATGTTTGACCACGTAGCAGGTGTGTTGGGGGGGCTCAGGGACCGCACGCAGCGCAGGCCAACGGCCCAATGCTTGCGAAATTTGGAACTCGACTCGAGGGATCGTGGCGGTCTGGTTGGTTGGTTGAGGTAACCTTGGGTGTTGCGACAGGCTGGCGCTGCCTCGCACGAATCGCGACCGTGTCCTGAAAGTGAGCGAGGTACAGATATTCTGGCTTAGAGGTCTTTCCTAAAAGATCTCATTTCCTCAAAGAGTAGATTTTTCACATAAGTCCTAGGTGTATCTCCTCCGCTAAAGTCCCATTTTTGGCGGGAAATCTTACATCTTGACTGAATCATTGCGCGAATCAGTTCTGCAGCCAATCAGAGGACGCAAATCGAACCTGTCAGAACAATAAAATAAAATAAAACAAAAGAAAGTTTTGATTCAATATTTAGTGCTAGCAGTTGTGTTTGTCTGGTTATCTTGACCTCTCTTGCGTCTACATCCTGTCGCGCGGTTCCCCGCGAGCTCCGACGATGCCATCTCATTAATCTCGCTTACAGTGTAAAACAGAAAATGCTGTCTTCATTTCGGCCTTAAACATAATTGATTTTGTATTTTTCTGCCCGTTTGTCCTGCGACACTGATCAACGCGGCGAACCGTGCGACGAGAAGTTGAGGACAGCGTAGTCCGAATGTACGTATGTGACAGAACAACACGATTAGTAGCAAAAACAAATCGCTCTTCATACAAGTTTTCTCTTATGGGACTAGTAGTTTCCTTTTGCCCGGGGTTTGTGAGTTTTCCACAAAGGCCCGCAGCGTGCGCGTTTTTCACTGGGACTCTAAACGAGAACATTTGTACCAAAGCCAGGCCCAGTGACAAAGGCGCCAGGGAACAATGACCTGCAGCGGCACGCCGTGCACAAGGCTGGGCGCAAATCCATACCTACGCTTCGGACTTTCCCCAGGCCCCCCGCCACTCCCCCACCACACCACGGTTCCCCGCACTTCCTCGCAAAACGCACCACTCGCTCCCTCCCTACCCCTGGGCTCCGCTCAACCTAACGGGAACACCCAGGTTAGCCGCAGGCAGGGCCCACCCAGATATCCTCGCAGCCGTTTCCCAGGTTGCCCCGCCAAGAGCGAAACGGCATGCGTGTGGGTGGGGATGGGGCGGGGTGTTGTTGGGTGAAATATGCGAACCACGATTCTCGAATCTCGTTTTGCTAGGAAGCAGTAGGAGGGATGTGGGGCTGAGTTACCGTGGCCAGAAATCAGAGATTCTTGAGGATATCATGTTATCTGAGAATGGCGCTAAGCGCCTAATCTCGTAGCATCTATCTGTCTGTTCTTTACAAAGTTTTTAGTTAGATAATGGTCTCTCTCCTTGCCACGCAGCTGGCCCACTGAGACGACCAGGACACTATGAAGTCCGTACCTTTTATAAAAAAGGCGAAGCGATTACTACTTGCTAGAGGAGTCTTTGGACTTGTGCGAACAGTCATTTCGGTTTCCTTAGTTCTACTTGTCACCCAGCAACTTCTTTTCCTGCGCGCACGGGATTTGTTGTCCAGTGCCCCAGGCACTAGTGGTGAGTCGTTATGTAAGGACTTTCAGCACGTTAAGAATTCATCCTCTTCAGCAAAGACCAATATCGCTTCCTTGTTGTCTGCAGATGGTCTCTCCGGTGTGCGTTACTTTTCAGGCAACAACGGCTTATACCGTGAGAAGGTGCGCTCTCAGATTCGTGTCAGCTTTTAGATATTCTTAATTCAAATTCTTGACACGCTAAAGTTCTTCCGCTGCTCTGCAGATTGGATCAAGCGGCGACTCCTCCGCCAGTTTACGAACCCGGTTGTCCAGAAGGATGCACGTTGCTGTTGCCGGACACCATAACGGCAGTACGGAACGATTAAAGGCTAGCGTCTCTAAAAGCGGCCACGGCGATGCACGGCCGCCGTCGAGCTCGAAGCTAGTAGAGTGCTTTCTTTCTGCCAAGTCGTATTTGACGATCGCAGACGAGGTGCAGGATGAGATTCTTATGGAGCGCGTGAAGCAGGAGGTGCACCGATGCCTAAGCCTTCTAGACCAGGCATACGCCGGCGGGACACGCGACGCGATCGCAGTGCCCGAAGAAGCGCGTTCGAAGCAGAAGCGGAAACGACCGCTTCGAGAAGGGAGAGCTTTGTCCAGGTGCGTAGGGAGCATGCACGAGCCGCTAAATTGCGTTTTTGGCTTGTCATGTGCCAGGGAGTAAGATTGATCATGCGCTTGTGCTGCAGGTTGAAGCTGAAGCTGGAGGCGGCGGAGCAGCAGACGAAAAACATGCTTCTGCAGAGCATGGTTTTTAGTCAAATAGCTTCTCGCGCTATTCCGCAGCCGCTGCACTGTCTGTCGCTTCGCCTAACCATGGTCCACAGCACACACCCCAAGCTCATGACGACAGACAGGGTTGATCCTAGGCTCTCTGACCCCAACCTCCACCATTACGCCTTGTTCTCCGACAATGTCGTCGCTGTTGCCGTCGTCGTGAACTCAACAGCATCAAACGCCGCCAACGTAGGTGCCAGCGTGCATGCTTTCTCTCTCTTCCTTTATTCCCTGAGGAGGACACGAGGCTAATCGCTGGATGGGATTCTTGAATGCGTGCAGCCGTCGGAGCATGTATTCCACGTCATCACCGACAGGATGAACTACGCCGCCATGAAGGCCTGGTTCAGTCTCAACCCCCCACGCGGGAACATGGCTCTCGAGGTACGCTTCCGGGATCTTCCTATACCCCATTTGAATGTTGCCCTCTGAACAGTATTCTAATTCCGGTTGCTGCGGCTTCACCTGCTGCTGCATCCTCTCGTTTGCAGGTTCGCTCCTTGGACGAATATCCTTGGATCAACGCCTCGTATGTACCTGTGTTGAGGCAAATCGAATCTGAGGCCATGCGCGATTACTACTTCCAAGCGTCTATGGCGTCCAAAGTCGGCGCAACGCACGCGAAGGAGGACTACGTGGACCTCAAGTACCGGAACCCCAAGTACCTGTCCATCCTCAACCACCTGCGCTTCTACCTTCCGCGGATATTCCCTCAGCTGGATAAGATCCTATTCCTGGACGACGACGTGGTTGTGCAGCAAGACCTGACAGAGCTGTGGAAGGTATTTGAAATTTCACTTCTTACTGCTACTGGCATTGATGAACGCCCCGCATGTTTAGACGGCCAACAGCTTTTTGGTTCATTCTTCATGCTACCTATTGAACTTGCGTGTCCCCAAATTCTTTTCCTGCAGATACCCATGAATGGCAAGGTGAACCTTGCTGTTGAGACGTGCGGAAAGGTGTTTCACCGATTCAAGACCTACCTCAACTTTTCCAGTCCCCTTCTGGCTGGCTTTGACCCTGAGGGGTGCGGATGGGCCTTCGGAATGAACATGTTCAACCTCGCTGCCTGGCGGCGGGGGAACTATACCGACAAGTACCACTTCTGGCAAGACAAGGTTGGTATGAATTGCTTTCTTTCCCACTTCTGAACATTTCTCTTGACATCTCAACTAACTGCCCTTACCACATGCAAACTGTGATATTGTTCTTGTGTTGCTCAGAATGAGGACCGCTCGCTCTGGAAGCTGGGCACCCTTCCTCCTGGTCTACTGACGTTCTACAATGCAACAGAGCCTCTGGACAAGCGGTGGCAGGTGTTGGGTCTGGGCAGCAAGAGCACTGTCGATGTTGGACTTGTGCAGCGAGCAGCCGTGATACACTATAATGGCCATGCCAAGCCGTGGCTGGAACTCGCCATCCCCGTCTACCAAAGGTTCTGGACGAGATATGTTCCATACGACAATCCTCTGCTTCAGCAGTGCAATTTCAGAGCACCGACTGCTGTTGCTGCTGACTAGCCTTACTGACAGTCATGAGTTGCTAACTTCTAACCCTAGTTAGACATGTAGATTGACAACTCGGGGATGTGTTCAGTGCTGGGAGGAAACAAAGCCACATTGGCTATTCAAGCTTGTAGGTATGCCAGCTGAAGCTGACACTCCTTGCAGCACAAGTCAACTGAATCTCCCACAAGTGACGCCACGTGCATCTGCTCTGCTTGGCTATCTATGGCATCTCCACCCTCTGTTCACTCACAACCGGAGCTGTAAACACCATGCCCTTGTCCAGCTTATAGACACGTTGCCATAAGTCCTTGTTACTGGGCTCTGCTGCATCTCTGGCAGCTTTCACTGCTGCATCCACTTCTGCTCTAACCCTCTTCTCTGCCTGCCTGAGACCCTCTTCGCTCTCCACATTATGCTGGCAGTTGGGAGGAAGGAAAATGGGTAGAAAATGTGATTAGAATGCATGGTATCATGGCAAAAAAAATAAAAGCATTACCTTTTGTGACATAGTTTTATATCAACAAGTACCGTATATGTCGGCTTGAAGCTCTAGCTGGTGTGACTAGCCAAGCCCTCACATAGCATCATGCCTGACCTCCAGTATAAGGCGTCGCACTCGCTCGATGGGGTCACGCGCGCGGCGGGTTTGCTGAATCTCGGTGCGCTGGCGGTAGGAGCTGCCAGGGTCGGACATGGAGTGACCATGGTAGCGGTACGTGTCCATCTCCAGCACCATGGGACCCTGCCCACCCACACACATGCACATCACAAGGCAGCGTGTGGTTGGGGTGAGGTGAGGGCACATGGAGAGCAGGTGGGGGGGGGGATAAGAGTAGAGCAGCAGAGGCTGGGGGAAGCCTTGGAGAGCACATCAGAGCTCAGTCGTGGAGAGGAACAAAGTGCGTAATGTTGATGGGGAGCAGGCGGCAAGCAGGTGTGATGTGAGTACGGTAATAATATGCACCTTGGCGATGGCATGCTGCTTGGCATATTCCATGGCTTGCTTGACTGCCAGCACGTCCATGCCATCCACCTGCACACTCGTGCATGCACGCGTGCACGGGCAGAAGGGTGCAGAGGGTCAGGCATCCTCAACTCACGTGTGAGACACAAGCCACCGTGCCCTTACTAGCCACGCAGCATGGGCATGGGCAGGTACACTCGGAAGTGCGCACCAGCAGGCCAGGGATGTAGTTGACGCGGTCGAAGAAGCTTGTCTGCGCTGATGCACGCCGCTCAGAGGTGCCCATGCCGTACTGCACACACCAGGAGAGCGGTGAGTGACAGGGTAAAACGCGTCATAACAGATGGGCGGTCCAATTGCATACCGAGATGGCACTAACTGGACACACTACCTCTAATCCGCAGGAACGTTGCACTTCACAGGCAGTAGAGTGCAAACGCAGGTGAATGATTACCATACAAGCGGATGATGCTGGCAACTCACATGGTTGTTCTCGACAACGAACACCACTGGCAGGCGCCACAGCGCTGCCATGTTCATCGCCTCGTACACCTGGCCCTGCGGGGCGCACGGGAGCACGGTGCAAGCAATGGATGGAGAGACCATACGTGCGGAGCTTAGTTCAATGCCGTGCCACATGCCACATGCCACAAGCCATGCCATCATGCCACAGCGGTTCTGCCTACTTGCCCCAGCCACTGTTACCGGAGCGAGCACTAGTTTCACAACAATATCACTGTCCATCCACCTGGTTGGCAGCGCCGTCACCATACACGGCAGCAGTTACGCCCTCCCCCTGCCGTCCCGCCAGCTTCTGCCCCAGAGCCAGCCCCGCGCCCAGCGGTGGCGACGTGCCCACAATGCCCCACCCGCCGTAGAAGCCTCGCGCCACACCGTACAGGTGCATGGACCCGCCCTTGCCGTGCGCGCACCCATCGCGCCGCCCCATCAGCTCCGCGAACAGCCCCTGTGGCGCGGGGATTGCCGAAAGGAGGAGAAGCGCACATACATGTCAAGAATGTACGGTGAGTTCTGCTGCTGAACCTGAGGTCGTTACGGTGAAAGCAAGTGCAGCGTTCACTTCCAGCCGTACCTCGGCCCACGCTCACCTGCAGCGAGCCCCCCCTGGAGAGGAAGAATCCGTGGTCGCGGTACGCCGTGATGAGCGCGTCGTGCTGCGCCATGGCGGCCTCCATGCCCACGGCCACGGCCTCCTGCCCGTCGTACAGATGGCAGAACCCGCGCACCGCCCGCTCCTTGAACAGCTGCAAGCACACCGTTGCCCGGGGGCCAGTGCAATTGGGGCAGATGGAGCGATGATACGGATGATGTCAGACGAGGCAGAGGACGACGAGAAGAAACTGAATCTGTACTCGTGTGCGAGACGACGAGCACATGGCGCTCATGCTATGTTATCATGCTACGCTTCCGCGAGGCATTTTTTGACATAGTATCAGCGGGATGGCACACCAGGTCAGACGCGATTTCGGCGCGGCGAATGACGGTCATGTCGTGGAACAGACGCAGCAGCTCGCGAGGCGTGGTGCGGACGAGGAGCGGCGGCGGGTCGCAGTGGAACGGCGTGGGGGGCGCGGCCAGTTGCACCTCGATGGAATCGGAAGGATCGCCCATGCTGGCACTAGATACCGGCGACTCTGCAACATCTGCAGACTGCACCGGCGAGGGAGGTTTTTCACCCGAGGACGTCGTGGTGAACGCGACTGCCGCTGCTGGCGGTGCCAAGGCTGGACGGAGACCATTTGCCAGGAACGCTCTCACGCATGGCGACGGAGAACGCGGATAGCTGGAGGCATCGAATTTGACCGATGCAGAAAATTGTGGAGCGCAGGCGAGCGGCATCATTGCGGCCAACGAGTCGCGAGTCTCCCCTAAGACAGGGAGCAGCGTGTCATTAGGTAACCATTGTTTGTGCACCTGCCGGGCCCTCGACAGACGTAATAAGATCGTGCGGGCGAGTCTTGCCCTTGTAATCAATGCGGAAGACATGGCGGAAAAGAAACTACCAGCTGACGTCAGACTGCCGAAGCTTAGTCCAGAAAACCTCGCATTGTGTAGGGGAAGAGAAGGTACTTGAAACTAAACGCGAAGGAAAGGTGGTGGGAAATTGGGGAGATTGGGCGCTGTTTGCTCAGACTCGAATTGCAGACAATGTGCGACTCGAAGTCCCCATTGCGAATTTGCATGTCAGCCTGCACATCACGCGTGGCCGAGCTACATGCAGATAAAGTACAAATCATACAGTCAGTTTCTGTACAGAAAGTATTAAGAAATGTAGGGTGATAAAGACGGAAGAGCGTGGAACCTACAACCAATTCGTCTTCTAGAATCACCATGCGCTGCGACCAAACACGTACCCAGTTTCGAAGACATGCGATAGTGCGGCGTCGCAAACGTCGCACGATATCCTGAACTGTTCCCTCCTTTCCCAGTCAATCCCGCCGTCCAATAAGAAGTCGGGAGGCTCAGCGCAGCTGACCCTGCGGTGTGTGCGACCGTGCGAATTCACTTTACAGCTCCGCTCGCCCCCACTCCGCCCCTGCTTGCGACACAAGTCCGCCACAATCTCTCGGAACTCCGCTCCACGCCCCACCCCCTCTTCCCCTCCCTCCCTGCACTCTGCCGCCCAGATCCATCTCCTTGCTCCCGCTTCCGCCAACTTCCCGAATTCCTCTTTGCTGAGAGTCTCTGCGGAATCGCCAGTTTATTGTGCCCTTGGAGCTTCCCCACCATTTTGCAATTTAGACATACGTAGAGCTAATACCACCCCCAGAGCTAATAATGTCTTTCCTTCATACGATCCTGTAAAATCTAGCTCCATTATTATTTCCACTCCTGCCTGCTTCGTCCCGTGCCGTGGCTGTCTCTCCTGGTCGAGCAGCGCATTTGTTTCCTCGCTTCCACTGGCGCCCTTCTCTTCCTCCGCGCTGCAGCATCTCTGACGTACCGCCCGTGCCGGCGCTGCAGCTATGGGCGCGCGAGCCGACGAGGCGCGTAGCGAGCTGCTGCGAGTGCGGCGCGACATCCACACGGTGGAGGAGCAGCTGGCGCGAGCGACACACGAGCTGGACGAGGCAGCCAAGGCGGGCGATCGGGAGCGAGTGGACGACCATCGCCGGATGCGGAATTGCCTATGGAAGGAGAAGGAGCAGCTGCGCATCCAGGAAACCATCTTCTTGAAGATCGCCTTCGCGGATTTTCCAGCGCCCAATATGATGGCATCCCCAGGTGCGGCGTGTGATGAGGGCTCGACGGAAGGGAGTGCGTGCGGCCCGGCGAGGGTAGGATTCGGAGGGCGCAGAAGGGTAGGTGGCTCTTGGATCGACGGGGAACGCAGAACACCCCCATCACTTCCACACCCTCCCACTACGTTCCCTCTGCAAACTTTCTCCTCTACCTTGTCGGCCCCTCTACGCCCCGTTGTGAATCCCTCTTTCCCCGCACCCGTCTCTCAGGTTCGCACGCCTTCTCCTCGCCCGCGCTCCCCTCGCCTCTGCACCTCCAACATCAAGCGCAAATGGCGCCGCATACCGCGCAGCTCGGGCCGCCTCCATTTAACAACCCCCCCCTGGGCGGGTCGTCGCTGTCGGGGTCGCCGTCGCTGATGGGCGCGTGCGACCCCGCGCTGACCCCCCTGCACACCGCCACACTCATGCCCGGCGCCAGCCCCCCCGATTGCTTCTCCTTGGGCGGCCCTTCCCCGTCTCCCCTCCAAACCCCGCTGTCTGGTCCCGGCGGAGCAATGGGCATGGGCGCGCAAGGAGGGGGCGGGCATTTCACATCCACGGGAATGTCTGCGGGGCAGTCGCTTCTTGGGATGCTGCCCACCTCGCCCGCCATGCGCCCCGCCTCTGGGACACCCGCATCTGGCAACGGCGGGCGGATCGGCCGGCGGAGGAGCGCGATGTCCCCCGGGCTTGCGCCGATGCAGAGCGGCGCAATGCTGATGGGCGGAGACATGGGGGAGATGGCGAACCCCGAGGGGTACGAAGTGAGTCGGAACCTCGACGCGCGCGTGGAGGACGTGTGGCGCGAGTGGAAGGAGGGGCTCAACGGCGGCCCGTCCATTGAGAAGCTTGAAGAGGCGCGGCGGCGCGACCGCAAGTGCGTGTGGTGGCGGCATAAGAACGACTACAAGTACTGGCGCAAGCAGGTGAGGGGGACGGGCACGCTTGCGCAACTGGGGCCCATGTGAGCGGCGCGTGCAAACGGTTAGATGTCACTCGCTACTTGACTGCCGTACCCTTGCCACACGCTCCCATTCTCTCAGTACCGTTCTCGCCCGTGCTTCCCTCTCCCATCCTGTCTCTTCCCTCTGTCGCCCCCGTTCCCTGTCTCCCCGCACGACCATCTTCCCTCTCCATGCCTCCGCCGCCCGGGATTCTCCTCGCACGCGGCTGGTGGCGGGGGGCGCGCGGGGCAGATGCGCATAGTGCACGCGGTGGAGAGCAAGGCGGGCGAGTTCGCGGGCGACGTGGCGGCGGCGATCCGCTTCTGGGACGACATCCTGCGCGTCGAGTTCGCCGGCTCCATCTCCAAGCTCCGCGAGGCGCTTGGCGGCGACCGCCCGCTGCCGTCCGCGCAGTCTACAGGTGGTGGCGGCGGGGGCAACGGTGCAGACGACTCCCCCGGTGCGGAGGGGCGGGGGGAAGATGGGCGGGAGGGTTCGGGAGAGGGAAATGACGGGGGCGGAGTGGGAGGAGGGGAGGGGAGCAAGTGGAAGAGGCAGAGGAGGGAGTTGCTGCAGCGGGGCGTGGAGAGAATGAAGGCGTGGGCGCAGGGGGGCGCCAGCGGTGCTGCTGTGGGCGGCAGTGCGCTGATGGCAGCAGCACTAGCGCCTGCAGGCGTGGGTGGTGTGTGTGCAGATGGGGGCATGGTGGGCGGCATGGGGGGGGGGCAAGGGTCGATGGCAGGGGCGGTGGTAGATGGCATGGGCACTCCCATGGGCATGCAGGCAGGCATGGCGCAGCAGACACAGATGAACGGTGGTAATGGTTCGAGTGGGATGGGTGCGCACGTGGTGAGCTCGCATGAAATGGGTGTTGTTCAGGGCGTGCTGATGCAGCATGGGGGGGGCAATGGCATGCAGCAGCATGGGGGCGGAAATGGCATGCAGCAGCATGGTGGGGGGAATGGCATGCAGCAGCATGGTGGGGGGAATGGCATGCAGCAGCAAGGGGGAGAGCAGCATATGGTGGGTGGGCATGGCGATGGAAGCGTGATGCAAGGGCATGTGCAGCAGCATGTGATGCAAGGGTCTGGTCCCCAGCATGGGCAGTCTGGTATGGTGCAGCAAATCTGATGGGCTGCCTCCCACAGTGTAGTGTTTGTGTGCCTTGCCTTGTTAAATCTTGATACGTGTTGCTATGGCCATTTCCATCGTGGCCTGGTGGCCATTTCGGCCCCTATGATTATTGTAGCACTCCTGTATGCCTGCTGCAGCCCTGAAATGCAGTGCTTGCTCTAGCAATGCACCTTGGATTTTGCCTGCTGCTGTCAGTGCACCTCATTGTTCATTCAAGCCCTTCTGTTACGGGTGCAATGAATCGAAGTAGCGAGAATTGCACTAAGGTGTCAAACGAGTACAAAATGTGAGCGAAGGCATGAGCGAACATTTATATGCGAAACATGCAAAACGGTAACGCGGTGCGTGCGAGCTTGCTAGTGCTACGCTGGAGCGAGGCTCGGGCTAGTCCCGAAGCGTAGGCCGATACGGCCATGCCAGCAGTGCGAGGTTTGGCAAAGCAGTGCGCGCGAAGTCAGCGAAGTCCCGTTAGCAGTAACGGGCGAACAACGGCTGTTGCTGTACGCGATGTAGTCGGCTCCGTAAGGAATGCCGAGAAAATTCCTTACACTACCCCCCCCCTTAAGAAGCCCCCTCCGCTACGCGAGTGCGTGTATATCGCGGAATCCCCGGCTCCTCAGGTACACTTGCAGGGCAGGGTGTTTTTCAATGTTGGTCAGGGGTACCCAGCTATCTTCAGTTGGCGTGCGGTCCTTCCAGCGAACGAGGAATTCAATCCTCCTGATTCCCGTGGGGTGGCGGATCCGATGGCTCAGGACTTTTTCGGGCTCGATGATCGGCTCCGATGCAGGGCGCGTCATTGATTGTGGGCGGTGACGCGGCAGTTGACTTGTGGTCGGGATGTATGGGCGAAGTAGGCTGACGTGGAACGAAGGGCTGATGTACCAGTCGGTTGGCAACAGTAGATGTGCGGTGACGGGTGTGATCATGTGACTGATTTGGAATGGTCCACAGTAGCGCGGTCGTAATTTCGGTACGTCGGGCAGTCGCAGATTTTGCGTGTCGAGCAGCACATAATCTCCAGATTGATACGTGACAGGGCGTCGGTGGCGGTCAGCGTTGCGCTTAGCGATGACGTTGGCTTTTTTTATTGCTTCGGCGGCTCTGGTGCGGGCAGCTTGCAGGATTTCGGCGAATTGTTGTGCACGTGGCGTTGGGTTGTCCGGACTCGGCGTCATGGGCACTGTGGGGTTTTGCCCATAGTTCAGGTAGAACGGGGACTGCTGCGTCGTGGCTGACGTGGCGTTGTTGTACGCGAACTCGATCAGCGGCAGCTGCTGCTCCCAGGTCGTGGGGTCGTCGCACGTGGCACGAATCAACTGCTCCATCGTCTGATTCGTCCGCTCCGTTTGGCCGTCGGTCTCGGGGTGGTACGACGAGCTGAACTGTAGTCTGGTCCCGAACTGCTCCCAAAGGTTCTTCCAGAAGTTGCTGGTAAACTTCGTGTCCCTGTCGCTTATAATCGCTGCTGGTATCCCGTGCAGGCGAACAACGGCTGCGATGAACAGGCGAGCGGTCTCCTCGGCTGAGATCGACTTTTTGCACGCTGCGAAGTGTGCCATCTTCGTCAGTCTATCCACGACGACCATCACCGCGTCGTTACCCCCAGGGTTCGAAGGTAACCCTGTGACGAAGTCCATGGTTACTTGCTGCCAGGCGCGTTCGGGCGGTGGGATCGGCTGCAATTGACCCGCCTTCCGCTTCCTTGAACTCTTCATCACCTGACACGTAGGGCACGAGCCCACGTGCTACTGTACGTCGGTCAACAGCTCCGGCCAGTAGTAATACCGCTGCAGTTGCTGTCGTGTTTTTTCTACCCCGAAATGTCCCGAGGTAATCCCGTCGTGTGCCTCCTGCAGTAGCAGCTCCCTCAGTAGTGAGTACGCGGGTACCCAAATGCGGTTGGTGCCTGTTTTTACGTAATAGACTCCTTTTGCTTCTGCCAGTTGCTGTGAATTTCCGGTCGTGAAAAATGGGTCGGTGCGGTATCCGTGGGTGAATAGGCCAGTTAAAAGCGGGTTGGTCTGGGCGAGTAGGATGGCGTGGAGTTGGGCGGTGGGGCGGGTGAGAGCGTCGGCGATGTTGGATGCTCCTTTTTTGTACGTAACGGTGTAGTGAAAATTGGACTCAAGATAGTCCAACCAGCGAATCTGTCGTGGGTTGAGATTCGGTTGGGCGCGAAGATACTGTAGTGAACGGTGGTCTGTCCGTACTGTCACGTCGGCGCCAGTCAGGTAACACCGCCAAACTTTGAACGCGTGCACGATCGCCAGCATTTCACGGTCGTGTATCGGGTAGTTGCGTTCGGGCGGGTGTAGCTTGCGGGACTCGTACGCGATTGGCTGGAGGCCATTCCCGAAGTCCTGCAACAGTACTGCTCCCACAGCGATGTCACTTGCGTCAGTGACGAGCTCGAACGGACGGTGTGGATCTGCGATGTGAAGCACGGGCGGTGAGCACAAAATGTTTTTGAGGGCCGAGAAGGCAGCTTGCTCTTTCTCCCCCCACGTGTACCCAACCCCCTTCCTCAGCAGGTCGGTCAACGGGGCAGTCAGCTTCGCCATGTCGGGGACGAACCGGCGCACGTAGTTGACGAACCCCAGGAAACTCTGCAACTCGGTCAAGTTGGTCGGCGCGTGCCAAGCCTGAATCGTCGCAATTTTCTTCGGGTCTATTTCCACTCCTGCCGCTGAAATAACATGTCCCAAAAACTCCAGGCGGTCCTGTAAAAACTCACACTTAGATGCTTTGGTCAGTAGGCGGTTCTCACTCAGGATTTTAAAAACTGCTTCGATGTCCTGTAAGTGCTGTGCTCTGTCACGGTTGTAAATCAGTATGTCGTCCAGATAAACGATGACGCACTTATCTAAAAGCGGGCGGAATGCTTCGTTCATGGTCATTTGGAAAGTGGCGGGGGCGTTGGTCAGCCCAAATGGCATGACGGTGTATTCGAAAGATCCGTAGCGTGTTCGGAATGCGGTTTTAGGACAGTCGGGTGGGTTGACGCGGATTTGGTGGTAGCCTCCCCGGAGGTCAATTTTCGAGAAAACCCGGGCTGTGCGCAGTTGGTCGATCAGTTCGTCAGCGCGTGGAATGGGGTAACGAGATTTGATGGTAACCCTGTTCAATGCTCTGTAGTCTATGCACATGCGAAATCCCCCGTCCTTTTTTGGTGTGAACAGTATTGGTGCGGCGAAGGGCGACGAGCTAGGGCGAATGAATTCTTTCTCGAGCAGGTAATCGAGCTGCTTCCTTAGTTCGTCTAGTTCGGGTTGGGTCAGTCGGAACTGTCGCTGTACTGTTGGTTGTGCCCCCGGTTCCAGTTCTATCCTGTGATCGTGCGGTCGCTGAGGTGGCAGTCCCGGCGGTAAGTCATCCGGGAAAATGTCACTGTATCGTGTTAACAGTGCTGCCAGGTCACTCGGTACGTCGGTCAGCAGTTTCTGTAAATCCCCTCCCTTGTCTGCTGCCTCGGCTTCCCGAATGTCAACCGCGTACACGTCAGCTCCGGCCGCTACAGCGCGTTTCATCGTGATCGCATTGACACACACCGACGAAGACTCAGGCGATCCCCAGCGAGGTAAGGCGATGTTGTTACCGTTCACTCGCACGGTGCAGTCACCTGTCGTCCAGTCGATTCGCGGATTGTGTCGTCGCAGCCAATCACGCCCGAGTAAAATGTCGGTTCCGTCGAGGGTCGTTGCGAGCATTTCCTGGCTGAATGTGAAGTTACCCCCACATCGAATCCGAACTCGGTCTACGCGTTCCCGTATTGCCAGTGGCGTGCCGTCTACCAGTCGTGCGTCGATCTCAGGTAAGCATCTGTCCAGTGGCAGTCGCAGTTTTCGTGCCGTAGCAGTGGTAATGAGGCTGTGGCTGGCTCCCCCATCTACGAAGATTTTAACTAAGTCCGTCCCAATTTTCCCACTGAGCAGTATAGGGCTGTCTACCGTGGTACCCTCCTTATTCGGCCGGGTGTGGTCGATTGCGTGAACCGGCACAATCACTCGGTGAGGGTCGGTTGGGTCGGGCGAGCGGCATGACCTGTCAGTAGAGGGCCCGTCTGCTACGGACTTCCAGCGTTTCCCTGCTGCTCAGCTTCCCCCTTTCCCTTAGCGTTTTCCGGGCATTCGCTCTTGCGATGTCCCGGCCGATTGCACGCAAAGCAGCGCCCTTTGAACGGTGTGGCAGCGGCATTTGCGGCGACGGCGCGTATCGTGGCGCTCTCGTTCGTCCCACGAGGCCGATGTCCCCAGTTGTTGTTTCCGTAGGACCCCGGTCTCGGTCGGCGAAAGAAGTCGAGCTTCTCCGCCATAGCGAGAATTTCCTGAAATTCGGTGACGCCGCGAAGCTGGATTTCCTGAGCGATGTCCTGCTTCAGGCCGCCGATGTAGCGGTCGGTGCGCTCGCTCTCATGCATGTAGCCCACCTGTTCGCATAGCGCCAGAAATCCGCTCGTGTAGTCCTGGACGGAACCGAGTTGGCGCCAAGTGCGGAGCTTCTGTCGCGCCGCGATCGAAGCCGCAATTGGCTCAAATCGAGCACGCAGACCTGCGCACCACGCATCCCACGTGCGATACTGGGGCACCTCCACGAAATACGACGGCGCCCAGGGTCCGGTTTGTCCTTCCCGTGTCGGTAGTGTCGCGTAGTCTGTCGGCTTCGTGACGATGACGCGCCACCAGTCCATGGCGGGTCCTCGCAACAGCGACACGACGTATCGAATCTTCGCCGAGTCCTCCGAGACGTAGTTGGCGTCGAAGAAGACATTCATTGTGAACAACCACGCCTGAACGGTAGGACCACCCCGTTGACTCGGGTCAAAACATGGCGGGCGCTGCGGCTTCAGCGGCCTCGGTGACGGCAGTCCCGAATCGTGGGTTGGTGCCGAAATCGTGACGCGAGGCTGACTTGGGGCCGCATGCGTCGCTCCGGGGTGTGTCGTGCCGTGGTCATCGTCCCCGTCGGGGCGGACGACGCCATCACTGGCCGCGCTC